ACTAGACCAGTGTCAGACTAGGTTAATAGGATGGTTAATGGGCCTGGTTGATTTCTAAGATTTCATTGAACTTGATCACCTTTGTCATCGTTGCAAATATGAATCCATACTTTGCAAAATAATGGTATCGCTCACACTTCGTCTTTGTTTCTATGATCGATACTGTCGTAATGTAAAAGCAAAATGGGCATTGCTTGACGGCAAAAAGAATATACGGATTCCTATTTTGGCAAATTTGTTCTGATTCTTGAAAGAGTTGGTGTAAATAAGAAAACCATAACACTACAGAAACCCGAAGGGCCATGATTTTGCTCAGATGGCCCAGTAAATTGTTGCATTTCTTCAGGTGACTTACATTACTGATTTAATATTCGTCTATATCCAGACTATTTTGCGTCTATTAGCAGTATATTTGAATATATAAGCAGAATTTTGCCGGAGCTTCAATTAGATAATGTCATGGTAAAACTAATAAACCGTTGAAAACTAAATTATTTAGAATGAAAGGTAATGGCACTTTACAGGGGGAAAAAAAAAGGAAAAGAAGCCGTTTAGTGTCTGTCAGCAGGAATCTCACGAATATACCGTAAAATGAAAAACGCAATGTTCATTTCTTCCAAATGAACAAGAACGTTTAAAATAATATAATTATAATAACTGAATGATACTGTCTTTGAGAAGTAAGTACAAGTTATGTCTTTGATAAGCTATCACAGCAATTTTGAATGCACTCTATAAATGCATAAATTGAATTATTTCAGTTGTATTTAGGAAAAAAAGCAAAAGAAAGTTTTTATTTCACATAATAATTGTCTCTTCTTCTACATGACAGTATGCAATATATCTCAAATATTATTTTACTCATACTGTTTTTTACATTCATTGGAAGAAGAGAAATATAGCTCCGTCAATACATATTAAACCCAAGCACAATAGCGGATCTGGAGCATAGAAATAATTTGTTTAATTATAATTTATTTTCGAATTAGAGTAATGTAAATTTAAGTAAAAAGCGTTTTTAAGTAATTAAAAATTTAATTTCGTTAAATTTTTACCGTTAAATGCTCATCATTTGCCATATATTGTTTTTCTAATGAATTACAATCATTTAGTTTCAGTTTTTGCCTGAAACTTGCTTTCTGACTACACAGCATTTTTAAGTTATGCTATATAACAAAATTATTTCGTTACGAAACTCTTCACGAAAATTACAACTCCTTAGAAACGATAAATCTCGGAATTGCAATTAAAATATATGTTCCATCATATGCAAAAACAGAAACAATAAACTTCTTAATATGCAATAATTGAAACATAAACTACGAAAGATAATCTCTGTCTTGAACACAACGAAATGCACGTAGGATTAAAACTCTTCCAATTGAAAAATATGCACTAGATAAAAAGAAAGGGAAAAGGAGAAGTGAGGACACTCCTTCAATGTGGGATTCATTTCTCGTTATAGCAACTATTTGCGCTGAAAATATGTACTCTTTAAGTATCAAATTACTGACTAAATCAAGGCCATAGCTTTCCTTTGCTTACCTTTGTTCTATAAAAGCAAACGAATATTAGTCATTGACAGACCTTTCCAAGCGTTATTATACTAACAATTTTTTGTGTTTTTAACATTTACTTAAAAACTTTAATAACATAAAACAGTATGAGGAGTCATTTAATACTTTCAGAAGTGTGTGTATATACATATACAATAAATAAAGTATCATTTAAGTTTCTTACTTAAATGTTAATTTATCAGTTATTTTATGTTAATTTACTTTTCTATATAAGCCTCGCTTTCATTACCATGCCAGAATGTAAATATCCAAAGCGCGCGATATTCAGATTAGCTAGAAAGAAGAAAGTATTTAAAGAAAGGTTTTTGGAGTGTGAAATCAGAGCGCGTTCTGCCTGCTTGAGGACCACGCTGCTAACTCTAATTTTCTAGCAATCAGTATTCTGCGGCGTTGAGTTATTTTGCCATTAGGCTTGTTTACTACGACTCTGGTCTGAGCTAGCTTGCGCGCAAGTTATACTGCGAAGCCGTTAGGCTATAATTAAATTTCATTAGTTTTTAGTTCATCCATTATCTTTGATTTAAAGCCAAAGATATTGGCTTCTATAATCATGAGTGGTGCCGTCACCCTTTCCTTGCCTGTGTGATACTTATGACACACAGTGAAATCTCATCAGTCTTTTAGATTTCAGGTCTAACTGCATGTTACCTGAGAAGGCCATATCTTATAAACATACTTTCAAATTAAACACCCCATAAATAAATCCCTGAAAATTATATTGGAAAATATTTATGTATGATTCTTTTGCATTCAGTCTGTTCAACACTGGTAAGTACACTTTGGATTAAGTAATTCATTCACTTGTGCGTCAGAATGATTATAGGATTAAGTACTTCTTTACAGTAAAAAAAGTCAAAAAGAGCCAGGCAAGATACTTTTTTTTTACTTAACTTCTGAGATTCACCAGTGAGATCACTTGTGATTCTCGGAGCATATAACAAACAATTAATTACTAGCAGAATACCACAAGAATCACTGGTGATTTCTCCATTTAAAGACCAAAAAAATTTAATTTCTTTGTTATTTATCTATTGTTTTGTTTTATCATGTCTCAGTTAGTAAAAGTCCTGGAACTTCTGGAAATTAATAACTCCTGTAAATTTTTACTGTGGCAACCGGAGAATCTCATTTTATATGGCGGCAGCCAGTTTGTTAAACATACGACTTGAGGCTCTTATTCGGACATATTTTAAAACAAAGCCGTGACAGTTAAATAAATTACAGGGAAAAGAGAAAAATTTCATCTGTTTGAGGATCAACCAGCTTAGCTTGTTAAACCACAGAATTTCTGAGCGCATTCTTTAAGAGATACTTTAACAAAGCAATTCTTTAAAAATGCAGTCAGCTCATTCGCTTTCATAAATGCATTCTGAAGTAACAGTGGATACCTTGAAACGTTTGTTAAACCGTTCACCCCGACATCGGAATGCACAAAGTAAGGTTTTCGAAAACACGAGAGCTTGTAAATATGTCCAACGCTTAAATTCTTCGGAAGTGTAAAACATAGCCTACTATTACTCATTCTTTGTCAGATATGGGTAATGTGGCTATGATAATAACTTTAAAACGAATGTGAGACGGAAAAAGGAAAAACGGTTAGCTCAAGACCAGAATGCACCGCATCAGTTTTTAAAAATCTCAAAATACTACTGAAATTAACTTTACCAACAAATTTTTTTAATGTAAATGGAATAGTTGAACAAGGACATTGCGTAACAGAAAAAAAATTCGTCTGAGTAAATATAGTGTGTTGCTGAGAAAAATATGGTACATGAAGCTTATAAAAGACATCAGAAACTTATCAGCGACATCAGACCTCAGCTGCAAATAAATTGGATTTCATATAACTATTTGTTAAAGCGTCGCATAATAAAAGGGAATTCTAGGGAAAATTTCTTGCCGTCTTGCTTCGCTAAAAGTGGCGAGTGAGAGAAAAAAAATAGATGCCATATTTGAATATTCAGCAGCGCAAAATCTGAACCAAACAACTAACAAGGCTGCACAGATAAAAAGATAAAATTTTAAATGCTCAAAAAATATTATTTGAAGTCATTCTAGAGGATCCATTCGAAATTAATTTGAATCGATAACATAATTCTGATAAACAGGGTGTTCAAATAAAGGTCAAGAGACTTTACTTCGTTAAATATGGATCCTAGACATATATTTCCAATCGAATTTTTCTCAAAATAAGGTAGAGAATTTTATTAAGAGTTTCAACACTAAGGGTAACACTAAGGGTTTCAACACTTTGTAAATATAAAATCTAACTTTTTATACAATCTTCGTAGAGCGAAACGTTCAATTAGTGCAAAATGTTCTTTGATGAATTAAAAGAAAGTTCCATACATTTACGTGTAGAGGTAATTAGCAACGATATCAAAGATCGAATTTACTGATTTGATTTTTTTAATCTGATTGAAATAACAGTAGATCACCATGTCTATTGCTGGCCAATCAGCTTTAGGAAATAATTACAAAATAAAATTACTCATTTTGGCGATGGTTCTATAAAAATATAAAACAATAGTCTTAATTAATTTTTTAGCTAATTTAAGCTTTATTAATTTTTACCATAAAAATGTTATTAATGTAAATCTCGGCTAATTTTTTACTAAAAGGTTGGAACATATTACGTTCAATGCTTTAAAGTACAGCTACTTTAATGATTGAAATTACTTATTGGTACGTATAAAAAAAACGTGTTCAATTTTACAGAAATTTCTCTCCCATAGGAAGGAAATCGTTTTCGTAAAATTTTGTTATTTTTAGAAACTTCGTAACTGGAAGTGCATATCTAGGTAAATAATTAAAGATATAACGCCTCTAGTCACTTTTAGACCATCTTATATAAAAGAAAATTATTTCAAACCATAAAAAAGATTGTAAATCTTATTAGCAACAGCATACAAATATTATTTGATAAAATATGGATTCGCAGATACTCATACATAGTTGAGGTAACTGCATTTAAAATCACCAGAAAACAGACTTAAAGTTTACGCACATTGCTGTGAAGAAAAAAATATTAATACAAAAATATCTATCTTTCATTAATTATTAAAACTTTTTACTTAAATCTTTTAAAACTCAAAATTCAAAAGAAAAATTTGTGTTTATCACATTTTCTGAATTTTAGGATTTATATGTCAGAATGTAATCCCAGTTTCTAATAAAAAAAACGCCAGTAAAATTATTTTAAAATTAATAACATGCATCGTAATCAGTTAAGTGAATTTCCTATGGATATATGTATGTATGTATGTTATATGATTTTTAGAAAATAGATAAAAAGAAAAAAAAGTACAACAATTTTAAAGTACTGAACTTAACGCCAACCAAACATAAATTCTTGTATATGAGCATAAAAGCATCAAGTCCAAAAAATAATTATCTAACCAATTTTTAAAATTTGTTCATACACATACTTTAATCTGGCTTTTATTAAATTCTCATTTTTCATAATGTTAAAAGACATTACAAGGAAAAGCTGTATCTAAAATTTAAGAAATGAGAATTTCAAATTAACAGAGGTAATTTACAGAAGCGATCACCCAATTTTTACATATTGCTTTATTTTAAAATTCTAACTAACTCTGCAATTCTGATTTTTCTTTGAAGCCAGAATAATAATGTGCTAAAGGAGTTTTGAGTGTTTGCAGAATTGAAATTTCAGTTCTCATTCCAAAGCATGTAAGAAAATAAAGACATCCTTTTCATATGCTCTTGTGAACATATGAATTGACTCAATGCATCAACTAGGAACTGGAAGCGTCAAATTCCACTTCCGATGAAGGTATTTTTGATTTAAGATTATCTTCCCCAAATATTAATGATTCTGACAGTAGAGACCAGACTAAAATATGGTGGACGAAAATTCGACAGCAGTTTGATTTGGTTTACTGAGCATTGCCTTCTTTCCCTTGTTACCTTTCAGATAGAGGAGAAGGTAAGGCTAACAGAAAATTCTAGTGTGTGTTCTTCTGAAGTAGTAAAGAGCAGGATCAATTACCGACGAGGAGACAACTAATTTTTCAAGACTTCCTATTCCCTCAAACCTAACTATTCTACAAAGAATTTTTATTCCTTCACATTGTTATGGACATCAGCAAAATTCATCCTTTTGTCGCGGTTTTCCTTTTAATGAGCATAACAAATTTATAATGAAATACTTCCCTATACGTAAAATTTCCGATGAAACATTACTAACAAGGAGGATAAAATATACAAAATCACTTAAAACAAATCCATGGTATTTATTTAGTGATATATCATGATGAAAAAGATGACAGTTCTTCACCCAGAAATCTTGACCTTTTATTTTATGTCAATATTCACTAGGACCTGTTCACGAAAATAATTTGACGATGTTCTTTAAGAATGCCGTTCAAAATCCTGCTTGAACAATGTATAGTTTTTTTGTTGTTTTTCCCCCGTTGACGATGAATTTCAAAAGCTTCATATGTTATGAACATCTAATCTGTGGGCATTTTGCAGTAACTGATGATTTGCTGAGGCCAAGTAATAATTTTTCATCCACTTTCCAAGTCTTCCACGTGCTAAATAAGGAAAAAAATATGAATTTATTCCCATCAAAATATAATTATAAAAACATAAAAACTAATTTAAAACACATACTTTAGAAATAAATATAACAAATTAGCTGATATAGAAGCTGATTAGAAACTACCGCAATGATAGTAAGTGTGTCTTTCTGTCTCAAGTAACACTTCGTGGTTTTGTGCGACGACTATAATATTTCATTAAACCTAGTAATATTAAAGCTTCTGTTTCATTTTTTATGTATATAGGATGATTATAAAACTATCGTTATGTCCATGACATAAAGTTGGTTGTCCTACCACCCCAAACAGGCAGACACTTGCTTTTAAGGCATTGTTAAATATCATGCTAGAATGTTAAATATCATGTTAAGATCTGCCATTTTGTTATATGGTATTGTATTTATTATCTCAGATTAAAAGTCATTTTTTGTAGATCAATATCAATTAATATTTAATTTTAGCACTAGTAGCTACGGAAACATTTCTGCGGCTAAAAACTTTTCAAATTTAAACTTTTAATTTATCGATTTGAACATAGACTTTCGGGACTCGTCTATCTATAATAAGCATGATTAGTACGCATTTTTAATTAATTACATTAATAATATTTTTGACTGTATTGCCTGTTTGAATTGATTACCTATTTTGTATTAATGCTTATTTTCAACACAATTTTATACGCACGTCAGACCTTAAATGTCAAGTAATCTGCTTAAAAATGTCAAGTTATCTCCACCTATATCGTTACTCTGAATTTTATTTACCTATCACTATTAGCACTACATTTCTCGATTTAATATATCTACATTGCTCCTGTTTCACTGAGAAGAATTATCCTACTAGTATTAAAAAAACATTAATACATTTCGGGAATCATAAAAGTCTCGCTGTCTTTCAATATACTTATTAATAAATTTTAAAGCTTTAATTTTTATTTTAAATCAGTAGGCTGCTTGCTTTTCCAATAGTTCTGTTTCAGTGTATGGAAATTATACTTTCTGTTTGCTGTGTAAATAATTTTGACTGATTTGATTTAATTTTCGCAGTTAAGTCAAAAAAGAACGAATGATTGATGAGTGAGCTTGTTTAGCACATCACTGAAATAAGTTTGAAATATTCATATTTGTTTTGTGTAATTCTAATGTTATTCAAATAAAATTCACGGCCATACAGCACAGAAGAAATGAGTACAATGCAAAACATATGTTTCTGCGTAGGCACGGAATCAGTTTGTGTTGCCACTCCTTGAACATGTTCCATCAACAGCGCAGCAAGTGACAATAAACGAGAGCTGAATTTGTAGAAGCGAATTTACCACTGGATCCCGTGGAGCTCAATTTTTAATCTTAACATTGCGAGATGCAAGACGAATAGAGAAATAAACCGTTGTTTCCGATGCTTAAAGATCTATGCCATTATTAAGAAAGTGATTTGTGCATGTTCGCTTAGATTCTTGCACGTTCAGTGTGTTTAAAAACTTTGAAATAAGTTATGATGATTTACTCATTATTTCTAGCGCCTCCTTTCATTTTGAGTAGTATAAGTTATGGAAGCGAACGCATTTTATTATTGAGAAAAACAGAGAGAAAGATTTGTAATTACATAACTGAACGACTGTATACTTTCTTGATGATTATAAGGTATTTCTCCCGCCTTCTTAGCGAGCCTTCATGGTGTAGTGGTCTGCACGCTCAGCGCGTAACTGAGAGGTGCACGGTTCGATTCCCGGCGAAGGCGTTGCATATTTTTCATCTCTCCGGCTTTTGGAATTAATCCAATGACTCTGCATGATCATTAAACTTTGCATTGCTTTGCAAAAAAAAAAAAAAAAAAAAAAAAAAAAAAAGCTTACAGCTGAATGCAAAAATTTTGATTTTAACCTAAGAGCAGTTAATTTTGATTTAAAAGCTGAAAAATACAATATAATAATCATGACAGTTTTGCATATAAATCACATTTTATCACTAATTTTCCCTTAATGTGAAACTATTACAATGTTTTAAATACTTCAAAGTGCATTTACGATGAATTTAAAAAAAAATAAATAAATAAGAACTTATATCATTTAAGCGCGTATGAAACATTTTATTAGCATTTTAATTATGTGTACATTCTTAAAGAATATATAGTAGCATACAGATGCTTCAGAAGAAAATATTAATCAACTTGCTTATTAACAATGCAGAAATCAACTTTTAATGTCAGAAAATTGAAAAGACGCAATAAATTGAAAATTTAAGTACTCGGATTAGTTTCTCTTCGCTGAGAAGGAAATATCTGAAGCGTATTTAGAGGAAAGAAAGGTCTTGAGTACGAATCTTAGTTTCAACTTTGATCATTAGAGGGTGATCGAACGGATGATTAAGCTGGCTAATTAGCCACAGACTGATGAGGAAATACAATTTCCATACACATTCACGTTAATATTAAAGAAGCCCAATCGGTATGCCAGATGTGTTTCGACAATGTATTTTTATGGTAGTGCAGTCGTCAAATTCTGGGTTTTGATTTTGGATTAAATTTCTTTTTAGATGCTCAAATATTCTTTAAAAAATAGCATTCAGTTCTTTTATTCTCGCAGTGCAATGTAAATTGCCTGAAACACCTCTTTTGCTTCAATGAGAGTGGATGTTATGTAAAATAGTCTTGAAATAATAAATTTGCGAGATACTTAACTAAGAAATAAATAAAGTTTTGTACGTCCCTCCTCTTCAGTGTATATGAGTAAAAGGAAAATGTGCTAAAAATTCATTCATTCAGATATAGCTGCCTTAAATAATTAAGCAGAATTATTTTTCAACTACAGACATTTAAATTATCTACCTAGCAAAAAATATAAATGAAACATAAGCACAGTATTTTTTTCTTTTGTTATTTTACTAAAGAAAATTGACAGCTGATACTTAAAGAAAGCGTTAATTTATGCTTTCTGTACTGAAGAAAATTAAAATTTCATAAATTATATTAAATAAATATTTTATCAAAGTAGGAATAAATACCACTAACTTCGACTTCGTCTTTAAAAGTTTTGTCGAAAAAAGAGCACTAAATTTTTTCTTGTTCCTCATTTTTCAAGAGTATGTATTTGGTTTAAATTCAGCAAATATATTTTTGTATCTAAAATATTTTCTATTGTGCTTCAGTAAAATATTTAATATTAAAAGTATGTAGCTGCAAAGCAGTAATTCAGGCAATTAAGAGATTTTAAAGAGGGGAGATGAAAAAGGTTTAGGTTTAAATTCAGCAAATATATTTTTGTATCTAAAAGATTTTCTATTGTGCTTCAGTAAAATATTTAATATTAAAAGTATGTAGCTGCAAAGCAATAATTCAGGCAATTAAGAGATTTTAAAGAGGGGAGATGAAAAAGGTTTAGGTTTAAATTCAGCAAATATATTTTTGTATCTAAAAGATTTTCTATTGTGCTTCAGTAAAATATTTAATATTAAAAGTATGTAGCTGCAAAGCAGTAATTCAGGCAATTAAGAGATTTTAAAGAGGGGAGATGAAAAAGGTTTAGGTTTAAATTCAGGAAATATATTTTTGTATCTAAAAGATTTTCTATTGTGCTTCAGTAAAATATTTAATATTAAAAGTATGTAGCTGCAAAGCAATAATTCAGGCAATTAAGAGATTTTAAAGAGGGGAGATGAAAAAGGTTTAGGTTTAAATTCAGCAAATATATTTTTGTATCTAAAAGATTTTCGATTGTGCTTCAGTAAAATATTTAATATTAAAAGTATGTAGCTGCAAAGCAGTAATTCAGGCAATTAAGAGATTTTAAAGAGGGGAGATGAAAAAGGTTTAGGTTTAAATTCAGCAAATATATTTTTGTATCTAAAAGATTTTCTATTGTGCTTCAGTAAAATATTTAATATTAAAAGTATGTAGCTGCAAAGCAGTAATTAATTCAGGCAATTAAGAGATTTTAAAAGAGGGGAGATGAAAAAAGGTTTAGGTTTAAATTCAGCAAAATATTTTTGTTATCTAAAAGATTTTCTATTGTGCTTCAGTAAAATATTTAATATTAAAAGTATGTAGCTGCAAAACAGTAATTCAGGCAATTAAGAGATTTTAAAGAGGGGAGATGAAAAAGGTTTAGGTTTAAACTCAGCAAATATATTTTTGTATCTAAAAGATTTTCTATTGTGCTTCAGTAAAATATTTAATATTAAAAGTATGTAGCTGCAAAGCAGTAATTCAGGCAATTAAGAGATTTTAAAGAGGGGAGATGAAAAAGGTTTAAGCACATGTCTAACATACTATGCTTTTCCATCGATGCATTAAATATGTGAAAGGAAGTCTGCATTCTAATCATCTTCGGGGGGGGAGGGATTTTATCCGTACTCGGGAATAACTGGTTTGAGTGTAGCAGTTAAGGCTCATAATACATTGAAAAACACTTTTATGTTCGAAAATATTTATTATTTAGGGGAATAAAAAGCTTTATTGCATATTATTATGATGTTTCTGGTTCTAATTAGCACAGATTAAATTCATGACTGTTGAAATTAATTGATATTCTGTAGTTACCGCGTATGAATACGCCGGATTTATCAAGAAAAAATACTGTGCAGCATGCTACGATATGTAAGTGTGTAGAATGCTATAATAATCATTAAATATATAATACTTAGTGCTCCAATATTCATTATATTTTATTTAATGCGTGTCCAAGCAGCCATTATGAATCTTTTACCTCATGTCATTACAATCATTATCAAATCGTGATATGCTTTCTCACAATCATTATTACAAAATTGCTATTATTAAATGGATTATTAGTGAAAGCAATATGATACTCATAGGTATAATCGGTCTACACATTATAATTCTCATTTTCATTAGTATATATTTTTTATCCAATATAGAAGAATGTGAATTGTAAAGCCTGTAATTACAAAATCTTAAGTAAAAAGTACATTTCTACTTTAAGGAGAAAGCGCAAGATTACATACAGTTTAATAACAAATTATTAATAGTTTCTAACAAAT